GTCCACGTTTCGCAAGCGTAGAGAAGGGAGGGAATGACCGTGGCCGAGAAGACCTGAAGCTTAGTGCGGAGCGACAGACCAGGTAGCTTCCACACAGCGTTACGCAACCGATGAAAAGATATTGCCGCTCGACTGATTCGGAGTGAGACCTCTGCTGTTAAACTGGAGCCAGTCATAAGCACACTGCCCAGGTATGGGAAACTCTCCATCTCTCCACAACTGCCCCATCACCGACCGGGAGTTGTGGGGGTGGAGTGTCCGATGGTACAAAATACCCAGGCAGGTGCTTAGTTTTGGTGGGGCTGATGGTAAGGCCCCACCTCTTAGTGGCACGCTACAGTCTCAGCAGCAGCGTCTCCAACTCCTCCTCTGACTGAGCAGCTATTACCAAATCATCAGCATACATAACGTGGTTGAGCAATAGGGAGCCATCCCTTGACCGCACCCGGGCATCGATCAGCCTCCCATTATATCTGTACCATATGGAGATTCCCCCGGTACAGCTATTGAAGGCTTCACGAACTACGTGGTCAAAATAGATGTTAAATAATGTGGGAGCCAGAGGACATCCCTGTCGCACCCCAAGGTGTACAGGGAATGGTTCTGACTCCCGGCCACGTAGTTTTACCCGGGCCCGCTCACCATCATGAAGGTCCTTAATGATCGTGAGCAGAGGGTAAGGTACTCCAAAAGCACGAAGAACGACCCAGAGCCCAGGCCTACTGATGGTATCATAGGCCTTGACCAGGTCAATAAAGCAGAGATGTAGGTCTTGTTGGAATTCCCTACATCTCTGCTGTAGCAGACGGGCAGAAAATATGGCATCTGTGCAGGACCGCCCTATCCTGAAACCGCATTGGGGCTCCGCAAGCCTCTCCTCAGCGTGCCTGGCAAGGCGATGCTGAATAATCCTTGCCAGGACCTTTCCCGGCACACTGAGGAGTGAGATGCCCCTGTAGTTGTTACAGTCTGTGCAGTCCCCCTTCTTAAAAAGGGGGACCACCAGGGCATCCTTCCAATCCTGTGGAACCCGTCCAGTGGTCCAGACTGTTGTTATGATGTCATATAGGGCAGTCTGTGCACAAACGCCACCCTCCCTCAGCATTTCGCTTGGGAGATAATCTCTGCCCGCTGCCTTTCCTGGTCTCAGACTCCGGATCGCCTTCAGTACTTCCTCAACAGATGGCACCTCAGCCAGCCACTCACAGGGGGTGACTTCTTCCAATATTTGAGGCACCGCAGCCTCAGCAGGGTCATCCTCACTTTGTGCCACGATGTTTTCCTGGCTGTGGGATTTTCCCTCCCCCAGGACCTCACAGAAATGCTCAGCAAATCTGCAAACCTGTTCCTGGGGTCGGAGATTGGATCACCGTTTTTTCCCCTAATGATGGTAATAGGTGTGGCGCTGCAGGTTACTTTTTTGATGGAGTTAAATAGAGATTTGTGATCACGGGCCACTGAGGCAGACTCCATCTCCTCAGCAACCCGCTACCACCACCCATCCTTGCAGCGCCTCACGGCTCTCCGAACCTCCGAGCGAAGGCTGCGGTAAGCCTCCTCATTCTCTGACGTGGGATTCTGTAGCCGATGGCAGTGGGCCTGCCGTGTACCCAAAGCAGCCATTGCAGCTGCATGAGTCACAGTCCTAAACCTCGCCCATTTACCCTCGACATCAGGAGGAGTCGGGGACGATGCCAATCTCAGCCGCAAGCGATGATGAAATTCTCGCTTGCAACTTTCATCAGATAACTGAGACCAGGCCACTTTAGGTCGGAATGGGGTCCTGGGCATACACCCACCACCGGAGTGGAAGAATGGCAGGCGCATCTTACAGATGACTAGTCGATGGTCAGAGGGCAGATCAGCTCCACGGTAGGTCCTGGTGTCAAGGACATGGGCTCGCATCCGCTGGTCTGTCACTATGTAGTCCAGCAGATGTTCTTGCTTGGACCCGGCATGCATCCATGATGTTGTGTGGATGCGCCGATGCCGGAACAGCGTGTTGGTAATTACAAGCCCATGGGCTGCACAAAAATCTAGCAGCCTCCTACCGTTGTTATTGAGCTGATCTAGCCCATGCCCTACAATCACTCCAGACCAGGTGCCAGTATCATGACCAACTCGGGCATTGAAGTCACCCAACATGATGACTCTATCCCGAGGGGCCACTTTAGCCAGCACCTGTGACAGGAGGTCATAGAAGGCATCTGACTCATCGGCTTTGCCTGCATCCCTCCACGGATGTTCATCTTCGGTGGGGGCATAAGTAACCACGACCACCATTCCTCGCCTCCGGTTGATGGGAAGGCGAGCCCAAAGTAGCCTGGGGCTTACAGCTTCCCACACCTCACCGCCACGCTCCCACGCCCCCTTCATTCTTTTGTTCAAAAGAAGAGCCACTCCCTGTTGTTTGGCAGTCTGCTGCCCCGAGTAGAGGACTGTCCACCCCTCATGGTGGCAGGAGCCAGAGCCGGTCCACCGGACCTCCTGAATGCCGCATAGATCCAGGCTGTACCGGTCCAGCTCCCGACAGAGGAGTGGCAGCCTCTCCTCCGCAGTGAGCGTTCGAACATTCCACGTGGCCACTCGTAGTGGCTTTTCGTTGTTTCTAGAGTTGCCCCGAGGGTAGGTATTCAATCTCCTGGCTCCGCCAATTGGGGTTTGGCCAGGAGACGTCATAGACGTCTGGCCCCCCGGGGCCTCCGGCACAAGCTTATTAGTTACATATTTCAGTTTAACTCGTGGTTTCGTGGTAATTAATTGAAGGTGGAGGGGTTACCAGGTGTGAAAACCACAAGAAAAATAATAAAAATATAAAATAACAATTCTCACGTTTCGACTGCAACACAAGCAATCATCATCAGGTGTGAAAACCACAGCAAGAAAATTTGAAAAAAGTGGCGTTTTTTTAACGTTAGCACCACGGAGAGCGATTTGACAGTCATTCAGATGGACGAGCCTATCTATGTTCGGGATAGAGGAGGGGGGAGACGAAAATAATGGATGCGGTCTGAAAGCCACCATAAGTGTGAACAATCATTTAAGACCCGAAATGGTTTATCAAATCCTTCCAATGATTGCTAAGCCAGAATTCCTTACTCTCGGTTGAAATTGTCTCTGTGTATATGTGGATAGCCTCATGAACGAATCTCTCATGGTAGCCAGATGGATTGCAAAGAACCTCCGTCTTGGAGAAGTCAATGTCATGTGAGCCTACTGAATTATAACAGTGATCTGCCACGGCCGAGGTGTTGGTCCTACCGTTTTTTAGGTCTGCATTCTGTTCACGAATGAGGTCCGAGACATGTCATTTAGTTTCTCCAATGTAACTACTACCACAGAGGCAACTTAGTTTGTAGACACCAGGGTACTGTATGTCCGGAATCACATCTTTTACAGACGGAACCAGATCACGGATTTTATGTAATGTGTTGAAACGGACCTGGATCTTGTCTTTAGTCAAGATTTTGGAGATCTCTTTTGTGATCCCCGCAATGTAGGGTAAAGTGATGGTTTTGAAAGTCTCCTCAAGAGGGTCCTTCTTCATGGTTGGAGTGATAGCTTTGCGGATTGTGTAGTCGGAGTAACCATTAGCCTTAAGAGCTTGGTGTACGTGCTTGAGTTCACTGACTATGTGTTCCTGGTCGGATATGCATTGGGCTCTATGGTGCAGAGTCTTGATGAGGGAATTCTTCTGGGATGGATGGTGGTGGGAATCCGGTTTCAGGTAAGCATCCGTATGGGTAGCTTTCCCGTAGACAGAGTGGCTCATTGAACCATCATTTTTTTACCAATTCCACTTTACAGTAAAATTGTAGACACGGCACAATATATACTTCTGAATCTTTATTTTTACCAACATTTAAAAAAAATATTCTTCGTTAAGGCAAAATTCTGAAATATTGGATTTTTTACCAAGCCTTGTGAATTCACCTTGTATCTGAACAAGTTAAATTTGTGCAAATATTTGTTTTCAAACGTAAAAATAACAAAGACATTGCTTACAAATATCAGCTCTATGTTTTCAAGTAAATACATTTTGGGTAGTGAATAAATTATAGTCTAAATAAGCTACACATGACGAATTGTAGGCAATTATAGTTATAATCAAAGACATTTTAAAACAATCACGTGGTCCCTGTAGTCGCCGTTAGAGACAATCTGCTTGAAACAGTTTATCAACATATATACGAATACATTGATTCGAATAAGCAGAGTTAATTTCCTATTTATGGCATGCCAGTTATGTGTCAGTTTTCGATATCAACATCACCTTATAAAAGAATAACATTTAAAATACGCACAGACAAGTATTCATTCGTAATTATTGACAGGCATATTAACAAAATTGAATTACTGCAGTGAAATATACTGCATCAGGTTACATCGTATTAACAAGAAGCTATTTTAAAAATACGCACCGCCTGCTTAACAGTGTATGTACAACAAACTATTGTAGTGTCATTCAAAACGAGGAGGCCATTGCATGCTTGCATCTGGGTCAAAATGTAGCAAATTATAAACATTGCCAACAAATAATAGATCACGGAGTTTAGATCGCAACACAAACAATCGTCATCAGGTGGGACAACCACAGCAGCAAGAAGACAAAACTGCTGAAGTAGGCGCCTACTTCAGCGTCTTCTTCTTGCTGTGGTTGTCCCACCTGATGACGATTGCTTGTGTTGTGAAATAAACGCCGTGATCTGTTATGTTTCTACCCACGTGGTGACTTTACCGAAATAACTAGAGAGTGTGGATTCCTGCAGTCACAAAAGCTTCTAATCAAGATTGCCGACAAACTACGCAACTGAGATGATGCATCAATCATCGCCCCCTACTGACAGGCTCTTGTCCACATGCAGGCCGGTGCAGGGCCACCACCTTGTGCCACACAGGGGCAGCTGCTACCTGGGCATGCTCTTCGAGCATCTCAGACGAGATACGAAACTCCGAGTTGCCGAGGCGATTAAGCAAGCACCATGTAAAAGCAATTATCATTAGAACATCGTGAATTCTTGGGAGCGTATTGGCTCTCGCTCCTGGTCAGAGATTGACCCAACCCACAGGTCCACAAAGACTGGCCGCTCGCTCTTACTCTGCAGGTTAAACCTAGGAATTGAGTGTTCAACTTCACATTCTTGTCATTAAAGGCCTGTGACAAAGGTGCATCTATTGTAGCGACATCGTCTCTGGCTTACACATCTACCGGGTCTCCACTTGACTTTGTATTGTCTAGGAAGTCCACCCACACCTCCACTTCCACAAACTGCTGAGAGTTGCCTCACTCTGCCTCACAGTCAGAATTCTCCTCCTGCTTCACGTTGCCTCCATCGATGTGAAGGTCCCATTTTGGAGTTGAATCTTCATCTTCACATTTCACCTTCACTTTTTCACATTTCACCATCACTTCTTCACATTTCACCTTCACTTCTTCGCTCTTCACCATCACTTCTTCCCTCTTCACCATCACCTCTTCATATTTCACCTCGATACCTTTAAAAGTGTCCAATCTGGGATTTTCTTCCGGTTCTTGTTTAATGAGGGATGGGCTCATGGTGGCACTTTGACTTTCACAAGTGGATTTCAGACTCCACTCCTTGCAGATCTTCTGATGCTTCTGTGTTCTCTGGTGTACTTGAAGATTTGATGAATCTGCAAACGCCTTCCCACACACACTGCACTTGAAGGGTTTCTCTCCCGTGTGTGTTCTCTGGTGTACTACAAGAAGAGATGAACGTGCAAATGCCTTCACGCACACACTGCACTTGAAGGGTTTCTCTCCTGTGTGTGTTCTCTGGTGTTCTACAAGAAGAGATGAACGTGGAAACGCCTTCAAGCACACACTGCACTTGAAGGGTTTCTCTCCTGTGTGTGTCCTCTGGTGTATTACAAGAGCAGATGAATATGCAAACGCCTTTCCACACACACTGCACTTGAAGGGTTTCTCTCCTGTGTGTGTTCTCTGGTGTGCTACAAGAGTACATGAATGTGCAAACGCCTTCATACACACACTGCACTTGAAGGGTTTCTCTCCCGTGTGTGTTCTCTGGTGTGTTACAAGAGCAGATGACCGTGAAAATGCCTTCCCACACACACTGCACTTGAAGGGTTTCTCTCCCGTGTGTGTTCTCTGGTGTTCTACAAGAAGAAATGAACGTGGAAACGCCTTCAAGCACACACTGCACTTGAAGGGTTTCTCTCCTGTGTGTGTCCTCTGGTGTATTACAAGAGCAGATGAATATGCAAACGCCTTTCCACACACACTGCACTTGAAGGGTTTCTCTCCTGTGTGTGTTCTCTGGTGTGCTACAAGAGTACATGAATGTGCAAACGCCTTCATACACACACTGCACTTGAAGGGTTTCTCTCCCGTGTGTGTTCTCTGGTGTGTTACAAGAGCAGATGACCGTGAAAATGCCTTCCCACACACACTGCACTTGAAGGGTTTCTCTCCCGTGTGTGTTCTCTGGTGTGCTACAAGAGTAGATGAATCTGCAAACGCCTTCCCACACACACTGCACTTGAAGGGTTTCTCTCCTGCGTGAGTTCTCTCGTGCCGTGTCAAATCTCCAGTCCGATCCGTGCTGTATGCACACCGGTCGCATTGTTGCCTTGTCGTACCGAGCTGCGCTGAGTGCATTTGCTCCATCAGACCAATTCTGCAGAGGAAGCGTCAGAGGAAGCGTCAGCTGCAGACAGAAAAAAATAATATCCACACCATCTACACGTCAGTATCGATGCACAGAGGAAAGTATACATACACAGTAACACGTGTGTCTATACTTATTCATATATTCATGATATAGTGGAAAAGTGTCCCAAATTCATCACACGGGCTGTTATGGCACACAATGAGAGGGCAAATGGTTATAAACATGCCTGGAAGCCCTCGAATCTTCAAAATGAATGTTCACCAAAAACTCCGAGCACACAATTTCAGCTGTCTGGCTACAAAAGGAATATTTATGAGAGCTAAATTCAGCTGACATAGCAAAGGGTGTTGAAAACAATACTATTTGTGCTAGGCAGAAATTCATAAATTAATGTTCAATCACAACTTAGAGGTGTGAATCCAGGCTCAGATGTCCTTGAATGCTGGGATGAACAGTTCCGACTTCAGCTGCATGTGCGTGCTGTGTTCACCTCCTGTTTCCATTCTTACAAAGAGTTCCAGAGGAAAACAAAAGTAAACTATTGTTTTGATATAACCTCCGTGTTCAATAGAGTTGATAGACTTTACTGCAAACACAAACTTGACACTGTCACACACTGGCGGTGGCGTGTCCAGAATCATGCCTGGCCACTTTCATCTGCTCAGCATTAATGCTTCCTCACTACACCAAGTAATTAATCGAGGATCAACGAACATAGCCGAGGCTAACTGGAGTTTGCGTGTCTCTCTCCGTGGTGAGATGTTAACTACCTCACCTGGTGTACAGGAAGTCGTGGGTTTGATCCCTACCGTGACGCCTGGTGTATATTTGGAGTTTGCACGTCTCTCCGTATAGCGTCTTTGACCGATAGACATTGACACACGTATTCTTGTTTCTTTCAGCAAAGTTACGTAGACAGAAAATAACAATAACAGATAATACAATTACATTAAATAAAGACCACTTGTGTTGCGATCAAAACGACGTCAGTTTTTTTAGCTTTATTTACAATTTTTTTAATTATTTTTATTATCTGTTATTTTCATTACATTTTCTATCTATGTGACTTTACCGAAAGAACCAAGAATATTAATTCCTGCAGTCACCAAAGTTTTAAGTCAAAACATTCACACACGTTGACAAAGCCTCACCTTGTGTTGTTGTGGGCAGGTCGCTTCTGATAACAAGAGCGGTATAGCAGCTCAAGCGGGCTTGGCCTTGTGAAAAAAATAAAAACTGCGTGAATATTTACAATAAAACAAAGCTACAAAGTGGCGAGCCGGGTGAAGACAAATTAAACTTAAGCGAGATAATTAAAGTGAATGCAATCAGGCGAGGGCAGGAGGCAAGGCCCCGCGTGGCTAGGCCCCACGTTGTAAAGTTCCAACCTGGACATCGATTCCCATGCTCGCTGCTACTCAACTGACATCCCTACGAGAGAGAGGCTCTACTTTGGTAAACAACAACAACAACCACCACCACAACAACCACAATGAGAATTTCTCACCTCGGATTTCAGTGCAGGAAGCGATAGCTTCCTGTTTAGATCGTGACATCACGCGGTAGCAGGTGACGTGACGTCACGTCCGGAGTACGAGATACGCTCCTCCCACAATGAGCGGCTCCGTAACTAAATTAGAGAATGAATAAATTATGTTAATGTTACTCGTCCCATGTGTCGTGGGCAATGAACTCGTCGCAATAAACTCGCGAGGGCTTTAACGAGTACATTATGTTAATGAGCCGCCAGTGACTGGGCGTAGCTTTGCCCAAATAAGGATTGGCACTGGAACGCAATCGGCAGTGACCCATGCGCAAGGTGACGTCACGTGGCGTAGCCCAGTCTCTCCATTGGATGACTCCTGTTAACCTCACACAGAGTAGTACTCAATTTATTGAGCTCTGATGCCCAAACTGTATTTTGAAATTGCAACCTTTAAAACTGCGAGACAAACGTTTTAACCACATCACTTTCCAGCCAGATATCTCTGCCCAAGTTGGAGCACTCTACCAATGAATCCAGTCATCTGAAATTAACGTGATTGTAACATGCATTCGGAATTCCTTTGGTCCCCCAAATGAGCCTCCGCACCTTGGCATGGATAGCGAGTCCTGCACTCACGTCAGATGCAATAACGTCCAGCTATTTTATTTCAGCATGGCAGATTTTAAGCCATGTTGACTTGGAATAAACCTCCCCAGGTACTTGGTCCGATTGAAACTGTAAAAATAAAATTGTACCCTTAGGGGTTAGCCTGAATTGAACCCATGAGATCGGATCCAAGCGTAATGCATCAAAGCAGCACTTCCATCTCACTGGGTTTGTACAAAATATCTGTGCTATACACCATACTACTTTACAGTAATATACTACTATACTTTAGCTGGAATGTAGCATGTTTATGGTAGAGTGGATTATTTGTAAATTTTGATTGAAAATCCGAAGTGTCTTCAGTTATAAGACTCCGTCATTCTTTAAGCTGCATACCAATGTTGAACAAACATTTACATTGCTAAAGGACATTTGCAGATGATACATTATTAATGTTTGAGACAGAGGGACATGCCAATGCACGTGAATGTTTTTTCAACAAAACATATCAAAACTATACAGTTGCAATGATATTAAAATTAAATCCAAGCAACATTACCATTTTCCCTGCTCCTTGAGTTTGTGCTCAATACTTTAACGTGTACAGGGCCATGGCGGTGTGGGGGCCGACGTCCACCCCACCGCCCTCGCTGGGCAGGTGGGGCGCGACGTCCGCCCCTTCCGCCGCCTCCTCCACCGCGTCGGTCGGCTCCCGCCGGGCCCCCGCCGACCGAGCGATCAGGCCCCCCGCGTTAGCGCCCTCTCCGAGGGACAGACTCGTGCTGCTGGCTCACGGCCGCACGGAGTAAACCCACGCACCCCCGCGCGCACCGCGGCTATCGCTAACGCAGCGGACAGCGGCACGCTAGCGCCTACACCGGCGAGCGATTACCTCCACGAGCATCCGCGCGCACCGCAGCCGTCGTTAACACGGGGCCCGAACGGTCTCGCACCTGCGGGCGATTATCTCAACGCGCGTCCGTGCACGCCGCGCGCCCACTACGGCTGACGCTGACGCAGCACGCGGCGGCCCACTCGCGTCCACGCCGACGGGCGATGATCTCAACGCGCGAGCTCCGGCCGCGGCTCCGCCCTCGCTCTCGCCGCGCATCCGCCCACGGAGCCGCTCCGCACAGGGATCACACACGCACCACACCGATGCTCTCTGCTAACTTTTATTCGTGGCGCAAACCCCGCACTGCCCGGAGGGAATATTCTACGAGCGGAGCCTAGGCCTACCGCTACCCAAGTCCGCAAATGCTCGCAGGCCCCATCACGTACCTCGCGGCCGTGCTCACGGCGTCGCGCGGACGCCGTGAGAGTCGGAGGGACGAAGACGAAAGAGAACTTTGCCTATCGCCGCCTCGTAGCGGCGCTCGCCGGCGTCGCACGGATCCCGCGAGCGGCTCGAGAAGGCGGAGAGCGTCGCATGCGACTCGTCGCCGCCGACCCGGCGAACCTTCGCGCGCCCAAACAATTTGAAGCCAACTCAGGGGCGCCGCAATGTGACTCGCTCCGCGAGGGTCGGTCATTCTCCTGGCGCTGGGAAACCGCGGGACTTTCATCCTAGAGACCCTTCAGATGAAAACCCGTCGTGACGGGCAATCCCCCGCCAGGACGCTATGTGCGCGCGCTGCAGGTGCGTGCTCGGTGTGGGGGGCCACGGGGGAGTCGAGGCGCCGGCAGAGTTGCTCCGAGACCGTGGCACCACAACGGATCGGGAATTGCGTTGAAATCCGGCTCACGCAAAAGCACAAAAGGGGCGACGCATCGGGACCCGAAATCAAGTCGATTTGCCGAGTCGACAAATGTGCATATTGCCCGGGGATGGCAACTGACAGTCGAGTACGGAAAATCGTGATGTGAACAGATTCTGTTTATGTGCGACACAACTTCACGCCACATGGTCCCACGGGGAAAGAGGGTGACATAAATTAATCTTTGGTTTTTTCGATAAAGTCACATATAAATAAGAAATAACAAAACATAATTCTGTTGTTTTGTTATTTCTTATTTATACGTGACTTTACCTAAAAAAACAAAGATTAATTCCTGCAGTCACGAAAGCTTCGAACCAAGTTTAGGGTGGCATAAGTAAATACAAAAACGAACCACTAAACCATTGGTGATTGATCAAAGCTATGAAGGCGATGATCCAGGAAAATGATATTATGATGCTGTGGTAAAAGGTAATAAGTTACTCGAAAGTGCCTGGCCGTGGGAACGTTGGTAATGATCAGGATAATACCCTAACAAAACAGGGAAGTCTGAAATATGTTGGCGTGTAAATCAGCATATCAAATTAAATCCACAGAGGAGGGAAAGAAGGATCCCAAGCATGCGACACTCAGAACCAGAAGTGGCAGAGACTCGGCCGAGAGAGTAGAGAGAGAGGAAGAGACTTTTCAGGACTTTATTTCCACTAAAAAAATAACAAAAAACATTACAGGAAAAAAACACCTAAATTGAAAATCAATAAAACATCAAACTCTTAACAGCGGTATGTGCATGAAATACAAATGGCACCGGGATAGAAGCTGTGGAAACGAGGCGGTGCACGGACATCTCCGTGTGCAGCAAAGTTGTTCAAGGGTTTTTCAATTTTATAAAGAATCAAATGTTTTGACATCAGAATGTGATGTGCACAATATATATTTTTCTCCTGTACAAAACTAAATGTCAAACACCTGAATTCGTTTTTTCTTCAAGGATTCTGTTGTCGTAGCTACGTATGCAGTCTGCAAGTTTTTTATGTGGGCACTTGCAAATATTGTCTGGGTACATGAAAATATTTCTTTGAAAATGTGTCCTAGACACTATATTTGTAAGTTAATAAAAGTAGAATTGAAACATTAGCACAGAGTAGATTTGTATATTGTAGGG